AACTCCGAAGGTAACTGCTATGTTGTCTCGTAGCTTTAATTTTGCATCAGGTGCAAATGTCCGGCATATCATCAACGAGGAGTACGAAATACGCGATAACATGGGAGTGTACAATAGGGTTGATCTTGAAAGAAAGACTTGTTCCTGCAAAGAATTTGATAAGCTCCGTATTCCTTGTGTCCACGCTGTCGCCGCTGCTATCAATAGACTCATTAAGATTGAGACTTTACTAGCTGAGGAATACACAAACCAGTACTGGGTTAAAGCATACGCAGGAAGCATAAACCCTGTTAACATCAACATGGTCACCGCAATTGAGTCACAAAGTATCAACCTGTACCCACCGACCACACGCAGGGCAGCTGGAAGGCCTAGGAAAAGTAGAATTCAATCAGCAGGAGAGATCAAGGTAACATTTAAAAGATTACTTGTTAAGCTTAATAGAAATTGTTTACCTGTATTCTTGTAGTTAACCGTTAAGAAATATCGTGGCAGAGAACTGGTGCGTTTAAACGGAGGAGGACTTGTACCAGATGCGGGGGTGCGGATCACAACCGCGCCACCTGTAAAACACCTATCTAGAAGGAGCGGCTAGTTATTCGGAGGAGGGGAAATGGAAGGAGTGTTTGTTTTTGAAGGTCTGATCTGGGGCGACCTTTTGCTTTTGGATATGTTATATACTACTGTTCCCCAAAGCTCTTCATGATTGACGAAATATGTAATGTACAATCAGTGAGGAGAGTGTATTGCCCTCCATTGTAATGTCCGGAAAATAAACTCTTGACGTTAATGAAGTTAGTTAACCGGTAACGATATGTGTTTACATTTAAAAAATTGGAATATCAGATTTTAAAGATTTTAAAATGTGTTTAAAAATGGCAGGGCTTCTTTAAAATGACTGGTGATAGTTTTATACGAAATAATAGTTTTAGAGGTAATTATTATAGGTAATGATAGCGTAGAAATTATTAAACCTAGTTATCTCGTTGAACATACAACTCTGATTGTCGAATGTAGCGTTATCATATAATGAGGGAGGTAAAGGTTAAATGTTAAACTTAGCAGTTATCATTCTTGTTAACACCTATTTTCAGGATCCAGTTCGATCCATTATTGTTGATCCAGAGGAGGATTGGCTTTGTCAACATGTGATAGTTAACGTTTAGCGTATACGAAGGTAGTTCATATTTAATGGAAACAAAGTGATTAAAAAGTTGTAGTAAACAAAAGTGATCCTGGATACGAGTTAAGAGTTTAAAAAAAAAACAATTGAAAACATAACCTTAACAGTTAACATAAAATATAACTTAAATCTGGGAGGGGTTTTTAGGAGGCTTAGATAGGAACCGGAAAAATTTTAAAACCAGCTGTTTGGCAGCATCTGGTAGAACACGAGGGGTAATAGCTTTGCAACCTTCCAAACCAACCTGGCAATGAGCATCAATGAAAAGACACATTATAGCAGCAGCGTCGGTTGCTGCTTCTGATTGAGGGATGCCTCTGGGTCTCGTGATAGTGAAGGCAGTGGTGCTCTCTTTACTAGGTTCGGGATTCCAACCTCGGATCATATATGGCATCATATTAGCAATTGGATTGAGCTCCCTTTTTAGCACACCATCGGTCTTCATAGCGTTGTGGCAATCAAGGACTTGAAGAACGCGATCTTTAATGTCTACAACAGCTACCCAGTGTTTCTGATCAATGTTGAACGGGAAGTACAGACGGTCAACTGGGTTCTCACGTAGTTTCACTAGAACATCATCATTGAACTTGATTTTAATCCTATCTTTGACAGCCGTTTTCACAAACCTTCCATAATGACCCATAAATGAAGCGGGAAGGCTCGTGTCATAGACCTTGTGTGACTTTGAAGGAGTGTCGTGCTCGTCAGACAGAAACCGCATCAACGCATCCATTGTCTGATATGAAGTACAATGAACGTTAGAATAGACAACAAAATATAGTGTTGGTAAATTACAATTCTCCATTATTACCTGGGGGGACATGTGATTAGACCGCCAGGCTATATCAAGAAACTCTTTCGCGGTTAGGGCAGTAGGGCCATCTATATGGACAAATCTGTAATGGCACAATTAAAGATTAAGTTATATAATAACATCTAACTATGCAGTTACCGGTAAACTTTAATTGTAGCTGTAAATAGTAACTGAATATATACTCGAGTCTCAGTACATGCTTCTGCATGTCATCAAACAATTTGGCGATGTTAGGTAAGATGCGTAACGGAAGACTCACTTTTGGGTCTAAATGGAAGTCCTGGTAAGTTGTGGGTGCTACCCTTGAGTGCTTGCTTCTACAAGTGTCAGGGTTGTCGTTCTCGATAGCAGTGTCGGAGGATAGAACATATCCCAAAGGTTTTGGATCGAGAATCGGAAGAGCCTGTTCTTCTTGGGTTAGGCCTATCGAGAAAGAAGGTGCTTCTATCCCAGACTGTGAGAGTGGGAGTTAGCAGTAGATAAGCACATTGTTAGAGACAAACAATAGAGTTATAACATGAGGCTAAGGTGTTAGGGAACATACCGGGGTCGGTTGTGCCAAATTCTTGCCGCTTGAGGTTTCGAGAGGTGAGCCATTGTCGTCTTCCTGCTATATAACAAGATTTCAAATTATTAGGCATGACGAAGTTAACTGCTAAGGTACTCATTATCCGGTAACATATATGTTAGTAGTTAACAATAAAAGTTGCATTACTAACCCCTTGAGATAGTATCTCTGTCCTCTCATTATCTATAGGGATTTGAGCAGTTGAATCCTGTATAACTCCTGCTTGTTCGTTGGACTGATTGAGAGTAAAAGAAAATGAAATGTTACGTTAATTACTGATTTAATTAAGAGTAGTTGAAAGTAATATGAGTGAGCTTACCTCCTCAATGTTTGAGGATGCATGAATGTCATCTACGATGCGCATCACTGGGTCGTCCTCCTTAGGCTCCGAGGCTTTAGATGAGGTTTTATGATCATCTCCTACATCAGATGCTTCCACATTGTCCTTGTCCTTTTCCGCAGTTCGGTTTGTTAAATCATTTGATGGGATGTCGTGTTCAGTTGGAATTGATGAGGTAGACTTCCCCAAAAACTCAATGATAGCCCTGATTACTCCCTTCTCCAAAGATTGCATGTAGTTGATAACAGCACCGCTAAGTCTACCCTCAACTCCCACAAGAGTAGCAGCAACCTTTTTCTCCACAGCCTCAGCTATTTTATACCCCATACCAACCATGTCGCCACGTAGTTTCTCAGAGATTAGAGTAGCTAGAGGTTCAATCATTCCTGGACCAATACACGGTGACTCAGATGGACCCCCCAAGGTTGCTTTGTCATGTCTATCCTTAACCTCCTTTTCCCTTTGCTTGTCAAGCTTTGGTCTTGAAAGGTCAACAGCGGAAATGCCACCCTTGAACATTTCATTGTTGAAAACGAATCCATCGTTGATGAGCTTAACAAGGGTGTCAACGGCAGGGTCGTCGGATTCATCAGGCCAAGAAAAGTCATGCTGAGAAAGCCAGTCCTCCTCTGGATCATCAAGAATGGATCGAACTGGAACCTGAAAATATGTGTTAACAATAAGAGTAGATGTTAACTTTATTATTAACCTTTAAGTTCATTGTTAGCTGTCAACGATATATTTATCCAAGCTTTTTGTACTACCTAAAGCGGATTGATAGGTTTTGTTGGACAAAATAAGGCATGGGAATGAGTGTAAGGTACTTAGTGTACTAGGTGTTAAATTGTTAGTTAGCAGCTAATAAAATCAGTGACGGTTAAGATGTCTAGAATCTAAACATGACAGAGTATACTGACAAACCTGGCATTCCGCGTTGAGGTCCCTCGCATTTTTTGGATTAACAATCCATCTTGGGGTAGAGTTAGCCTTCTCCAAACCGGTTGAACTATCTCCAACAACTTGATCCTCCTCCGGCAGGGTCTCACTCTCACTATCAGACTCAACAACAACAACATGGGCATTGGTGATGACTTCTTCTTTCAAAGCAGGGACAGCAGCGATCATGACAAGTTGAATAGCTTCAACATAACCTCTTAATGCGAAAGAGTCTTGAGCGAGGGCAACTGCATCCTTCTTCAGTAAGCTCGATGTTACAAGTTCAAAAGAAATCCGTCCCCATGGGTAAGAAATGAATTCATCTAAATCCCTAATTAACTCGACATGCTCAGGGATAATCTTCGGGGTGTGAGAAGAGAAGCCGTAATTGCTAGACATGCAAATTTGATCTGCGTGTTCCTATCCTTCACCTTATGTGTCTTGAGCATCTCGATAACGGTGTCGACAGAACATGATTTAAGAGAGCCAAACAACTCGTTCCAATAGAGTTTCTCTTTCAGAGAGTTCTTTCTTCTTTTTCGGGTCTGAGCGGGAATGCGGTTGCAATTCAGACCAGTAACAATGGCGAACTCCCTGAGAGAAATTCTGATTGGCCTTCCGGCGAAGATCAACCATATCTCATACTTCTTGCTCGTCTTTAGCATCCTAACCAAAATGAAATGACCAAAAGCACCAGAAAATGGAGGATTTTCGTCTAAAGCTAGGATTTTGGCAAACTGAGAATCCTTGAAGAAGTCCATCTCTTCGTCGTCGAGTGACTCAATAAGTGACTCGGTTCTCCGAGTCCTGTGATACGAGTTGACTCGTTCACCAATTGGTTCATCACCGCAAGAGAATATACGGAGAGGGAGTACAAGATCTTCCATTGCAAAATCGGAGGAAAAGAAAAGAATTAACGGTTGATGAAGATTGGATTTGCAGTTACTTATGTATAATTGAAAAGGGAAACTGAAAAATCAGTTCCGTGTTGGAACTAAAAGTGCTTGACAAAAAATAAAATTAAGAATTATATTTAGAATTCAAAATAAAACGGTTGAAACATAAATGAGAAAATATGGTTTGGGGTTAAAGAGAAAGTTGCCTGCTACAAGCGCAGGCGTGGGGCTACGGTTACATGGCTACGTAGTAGGCCCGGGAAATGAGGAAGGTCATTTTGGTCATTTTTTCCATTACGTCAACTCAATGGCAAACGCCTAATTACGACACCGAAAAGGTTATACGCGCAAATAATCTCTTGGTTTTAAGCTAATTAACTCTTTAATTTATTGATTGATTTGGTTTGGACCAACGTCTGAGTGAGAAGGGTAAACCTAATTGGCCGTCAAATTCAGAATCGATTTGTTCCCTTTCTTCTGAACATTTGTTTGACGCTGACGCCAGTCGCTGCGTTTCCTAAAAGAACATGGCTTTTGTTCTTCTTTGGCTCGATTTCTTAACCTGAAATCGATTATTATCAATGGAGATTGTATCATCACTACCAAACATCAACCTTTTCTCTTTTCTACCTTTCTCCCTTCCACCATCAGACTCACAGTCACAATCCTTCGTCCTCCACCACTGATACCAACACCAAAGTACTCACCATCCCGTCGAAACCGCAATCAAACTAATCCCAAGACACAATCAAACCCAGTCCTAAAGCTCCCACACCGCCAAACACGTTACGAAAAACCCGTAAAAGGAATCATATCCTCTGACGTAGACCGCACGATCCTAATCGGCGAATCCGGCATCTCCTACAAGCTCCCCTGCGCTCCCTTCGAGTTTCAGTTCAGCTACTCAGAGACTCCCAACGCGAAACCGGTGGGGATACGTGAGCCAGCGTTCATGTCGTTCGATCCGCCAACGATGCCGATGCCGAGGCCGAGAAACGGTGAGCTTCCTTCTAGATGGGATGGTCCTAATGGTACTGTGGTTTTGGTCAACAAACCCCAAAGGTTAGTCTCTGTCTCTCTCGCTCTTTGTTTTGCGTTTTGTAATGTGTTATGTGATTTGGTTATGGTGGTGTTGTTTGTAGAATCAACTTCTTTTACCGTTTCTGGTAAGCTACGGTGAATAGTCAAAGTGAAAAAGGTTCTTGCTTATTAAACCCTTGTCTGATCCACGATTTGGAAAGTGTATCTTTTCGGTGGTTAGATAATTAGTATATCTCAGGTTGGTCATGCTGGAACACTTGATCCTATGGCTACTGGTCTCTTAATCGTTTGTGTTGGTAAGGCCACAAAGGTGGTTGACAGGTTTGTGATTTCCTTAATCCAGAAATGTTTCTCTCTATGATGATCTATAGAAAGAATAGCTACAAAAGCCCTTTTGTGTCTGCAGATACCAAGGGATGATCAAAGGTTATAGAGGAGTTCTTTAACATTAGACGCTGACTCTCCTGTAACTCATACGACACCTTTCCTTGCTTTCATAGTTCATTAGTTCGTTCTGGCTCATTAGAGTTTGCTCAATGTGATATTGCTGCAGGTGATTCAACGAGAGTCTTGGGAACATATTAAAGACAATGACATTAAGAAAGCTTTGACATCTTTTCTTGGCGAGATATGGCAAGTTCCTCCAATGTTCTCAGCTATAAAAGTGAGCATTTGCTAAATCTTTTAAAGTCTGAAACAGGGCTTATCGTGGATTGCATTGTTAACTATCTTTTTAAACTGTTATTTCTGTTTAGGTTGAAGGTTAGAAACTGTATGACAAGGCAAGAAGAGGAGAAACCGTGGAGCTTTCTCCCAGACATACCTCGATTTTCCAGTTTGATGTCGAACGCAGTTTAGATGACAGGTTTAATTCATTTTCTGTAAAATGCATAAGCAATTTGATAACAGTGTTCCTGTATAGGTCTCCCTAAAGATCTATTGTCTCTCTTTTTGCAGATAAAATCTGATCTTTCGAGTTGTATGCTCCAAGGGTACATACATAATATCTCTCTGTGCAGATCTTGCTAAAGCTCTTGGAAGGTCCAGAAAGGTTCCACCTTTCATAACTAACCGATCCTAAAAGTTTAACTTCTACTAACTATCATTCCTTTTTGCTGCAGTTATGCTCACCTCACTGCTCTCCGGCAAGATTCAATAGGTACGTATTTTTATCAACCTGGTTTTCTATATAAGCTTGATTCACTCTGTTTTCTTCTCTGGGGGTTCAGCTGAATATTTTGCTAACGATGCTTGGGAGTTCAATGACTTAGAAGTAGCAATTACAAAGAACTACTTCTAGAAGCAAATGACATCGGCTTTGGTAGACGTTTCCATAAATGAGTAGAAGATCCATCAATGTTGGATTCTTGGCGACAAACAAAGGTTACAGAGGCTTACATAGATCATGGTGCAAGAAAATCACCTGGTTATTATTATTTTTAATTATAATGATTTTGGTTTGTTGTAGAAATATCTATCACTAGATGTTTTCTTGCACCAAGTGCATGAATAATTTTTTTGAAAATTTAAATCATATTTATAAGTAAATGTTTGTTCATTTTTAGATTCTATTATTTCCGAACAATACTTTAATTTTAATTTAATTATATAAAAATTAAGATAAAATATAATTTTCTAAATTTATATTAAATATATATATATATATATATATTTAAAACTATAATCTAAGAAATATTTTTCTCTATTGCTTTTGATTAAAATATATTCAAAATTCTAAAAACATTATTATTTTGTTAGGTATATAATATCAAAATCTAAATAATATTTCTACAATTTGTAGATACTTAAAAGAAACTCATAGTAATGAGATTAGAAAATTTATATTTTTTTTTATAATTGTATAACTTTTTGAAGTTTGTTTTAGTACTAAGAATTATAAAAATAAATTTAAGAAGATTTCAGAAATTGTAAAATGTTATTCTATTTTATTTTACTATTATATTATTTATTCTTATATTAGTAATGGTAGATGAATTATTACTATATTTTAGAAACTTGACAGAAATATAAAACAATAATTAATGTAAATGTCTATATCATAATTAGCATCAATCCATGTCAAATTTGTTAGTATGTCATGTTATTTTTTTTCTTTCAAAATTAATTTGGTGATGACAAGTTCCAAAGTCACTTCTCAAATAATAACTAAAGTATTGCACGAAAATGTAATTTCAATCAATTTATAACAAAAATGTAGTGCTATAGTTAAGTTAATAATATCGTTCTAACATTGCTATAGTATCTGTAAAGGGGTATCTATGATGGCTGTTGATGACATAGTAGAATAGAAAACGTAGTGTTATCATTTCTTTTTAAATAAAAAAAAATTATTTTCTCAAGTTCAGATAACTATCTTTTCTTAAATGTATAATTATGGTAGTTACATAAATTTGTATGTATTTATTATAAAGTTATATTTTGATCTATTCCATACATACAATTTGGTTAATATTGCATAGCCTTTAGAAACTTGAAAAAAAAAAAAAAGATGACAATTATTATTTTCTAAATGATTAAAAAAAAAATAACAACTTCAGTTAAATATGTATATTGTTTTGATATAAGTTCATAATAAAAATATGTCTCTTAAAATGATTTTGTTGTTTGTTATTAAAAGCGTAAAATGATTTTGTTATTTGTTATTAAAAATGATGCTATGTGTCAAGAAGTGTTTTAAAAACTGGTTCGGCTGGTTGAATCATGACTCTCTCTTCTAAAAAATTTTGAGCTGTGCTAAAAACAAAAAAAAAATCGATTTAAGAACTGGTAACTCACTAAAACCAGTGGTCCAATTTGATATTAAACCCTGATTTTCTTTTTCAAATTCAAGTTAAAAATGAAAATTTTTAAAATACTTTCATATAAACCTGTATTGTTTTTAATATATATTCAAATAAATTAGTTTTCATTAAATTTATATTATTTTTAATGTTTTCATTTTATTTCAATATCATTTTAGCTTCAAACAATGATAAAAATTCTTATAAAATAATATATAGTTATACATATATATAGATACTTAACATAAAATTAAATTAAATTTATAATCCAGTTGGACCGGTGTGACTATTGACGTAACTGCAAGGTCAAGTAAATGTTCGGTTTGGTATTTAAAACATTGATGGGAAAGATAAATTAATATCATCCAATTTATAAATAAACAGAATAAATAAACATTATTCCTAACAACAAATTATATAAAATCTTAAATTTCTATAATATTATTTTAAATTTAAATAAAAGTCAGTTCATTTTATATACTTAATTTTCTGATTTTGATAGTGATTAATTTCTACCAAAATTTTGAAGATAAAAAATTTTAAACTACAGATTAAAATTTATATTACAGTAAATATTATGTAAGTTATTTATACCAAAATTAAAATGAGAGTCTGTTTAAAAAAGCTAGAAAATCTATATTTTATAAATAAAAAAATTTGTTCATTATTAGTATTACTTATGAAAATCTTACTTGCATTAAGTACAATGATTTTTTCAATCGTTATCTTTTTCTATTTAATTTAACATTCTTTTTTTCTGTTTTTAATTATAAGTTTAACTATACAATATATCATATATATAAACTATATGACTGGAAAATTTGTATAAGAGACTAGCTGCGTGTAGCGAGGCAAAAAGATCTAGTTGTTTTAATAAATTGCTAATCAAATAACAGGGAATTTCAAGTGATTTTTAATAACTTTTCACAAACTCCATATTGAATAACAGGGGATTTGAAAAAAGAAAATCAAATCATAATTTGAATAAGAGGGGATTTTAATCAAATTCCATAATCTTCTAAAATCGTTGGTTCAATACACCCCCCAATGTGAATTATGAGCATGGATTGACGGTCGGTTCTTACTCGCATGTGTAGTTTTTTCAGATCATTAATGGCTATCTATCTATTACAAATCTGATGGTGGTCCTAAAGATGTTCGAAGGTAATGATTCCCATGGGTATATACGACGAAGTGAAGACTTGATGATGTTGCTGTGGACTTTGAGCATGGATCTGATGGGTTCGTTCAGTTCACTTGGTACTATATTATTCTTAATTGCATTGACGAGCTTGGCGAGGTATAAACGCTATTGATGACCTTGGCGAGGTATAATCGCTATTGATGACCTTGGCGAGGTATATTTGTTACTGATGGTCTTATGGTTGGGTATAAAAACCATGAAGATAATTTGATGATTGTCTAATCTCATACGTTGTAGCACATATGAGCTTGTGAGAGGGTATTAGGAGATCTAGGAGATTACGAGATCGACTAGAATATGTTTGGCTGTAATTATTAGCAAATATATCATTTATGTAGAAATCATATTTTGTATCTATTATGAAAGAACTTGTTAGACAAGTTATGTACCTTTTTTTAACTTTGAAAATGTATTTCACTATGGAAACAAAGGTGAGGTACACAATCAAAGAAACAGTAACAAGGATAGAAACATAAACAGAGCCTAAAGCTCATCCATGTTGGTAGATCCAAAAAAATTTACCAGATCTATAATTTCTGCAACCACTAACAATGTCTTCCTTAGACCTTTCTCCTCTCCGCGTAGACCGCATTCCTTAACCATGTCAGATTACATCATGACAGGGCTGATACAAAACCGGCGAGTCATACAAACCTATTGGCTAAGTTAATAAAATGAGAGAAACTATAATATTTCTTAAGTTTCTTCCAAAGTTATCATATTAGGAGTTGACGAGATCGCCTAGAATATATTTGTCTGTAACTAATACAAAATATATCATCTATGTATAAATCATATTTCCTATTATATTATGTAAAGAACTTGCCAGACAGGTTATCTACTTCGTATAAATAAGTCTATCGGCTAAGTTAAACAAATGTGAGAAACTATTATCCTTTAAATGTTTCTTCCAAACTTATATTAAGTTTGGATTTATTATGGTCTTCCAACTTAAAACCAACTAGATTTTAAGACCATGTGCAAGTAATACAATTTTTGAAAAATAAATCATATTTATCAATAAATGTTTCTTCATTGTTATATTTTATTATTTCCGTACAATATTTGAGTTTTAATTTAATTATATATAAAAATTAATAAAAATATAATTTTCTTTAAATTTACATTTAATAATATATGTATATATTTAAAACTATGATCTAAGAAATATTTTATCTATTGCTTTTGTTTAAAATATATTAAATAAATTATAGAAAATCATTATTTTGTTAGGTATATAATTATCAAACTTAAAACAAAATAATATTTCTACCATTTGTAGATATTTAAAAGAAGCTCATAGTAATGGGATTAGAAAATTATATATTTTTAAATTGTATAATTTTGAAGTTTGTGTAGTAATAAAAATTATAAATTATAAAACTATAAAAATTAATTTAAGAATATTTCAAAAATTGTAAAATGTTATTCCATTTAATTTTATTATTATATTATTTATTCTTATATTAATGATGATTTATGAGTTATTTCCATATTTTAGAAACTTACCAAAATATAAAAAAACAATTAATATAAATGTTCATATCATAATTAGCATCAAGACATGTCATATTTGTTAGTATGCCATGTCTTCTTTTTTCTTTTAAAATTAATGTCATGATGACAAGTGGCAAAATCAATTCTCAAATAATAACTAAGAGATTGGTTGTAAGTAGAGTAACCAAAATTCTCTTATATATTACTCAAGTTTCTTTCATATTTCCAGTGTATGATATGCTCTCCAACGCCATCCCTCGATAATAGTGGATATAACTATTAATATTTAGAATTCATCATACCCTCTTCAAGAAAATGCTATTTTCTAGAAATCTCGACAGAACTGAACCTTCTATGAGCTATCAGCTAATGGGATGATGAGACCATTTTTCGGGCCGGATTAATAGATCAATGTGTAGGTCCACATTGATACCATAATAAAGTTGGACGAAACCTTTAAAGTATAATAGTTTCTCTCATTTTATTAATTTAGCCAATTGGCTTATTTATACAAAGTACATAACTTATCTACCAGTTCTTTACATAATAGAATAGGAAATAAGATTTATAGATAAATGATATATTTCCTAATAGGTACAGCCAAATATATTCTAGGTGATCTCTTAATAAGTCGTACAAAATCGAAACTACCTTTAAAATTGCAACTACCCGCATCAGAAAACTTTGCACCCGCAGCTGTTGCGTTTCAACCACTCATACCCTTAATGTAGCTGATAAAATAGCTAAGTTAGCTTGACTAAACATATATAATATAATGTAACTTGGAACTCATTGTAATTGTAACGCCCAAAGAATCCACAGTTAATGGACCTCCCACGGCCCTTCACTCGATCAATGGGCCTTAGTTTGTGCGATAGATTTGAAATATGTGTTTACTGACCTTGCAATCACTACATGATCTTTTCTAATGCTTTAGATTCACTCTCACAATATCATGAATCACTTACCTATATGTAACTCATAATTTGACTAATCTAGCTCAAACACGCTAACTATGAAGTTCTCTCTTTATATATGTCTAAAAGATAAGTGCACTTTGGTAACATAGATAGCTAAATCAATTTTATTAAATTCTAGAAATCAAATTGTTACAACTCATCCTCATTCACATAGTGGAATGTCCTCGTTGTGCCCCACTATTGCTACCTCATTTTAGTGTGAGCCCAGAGAAGACTCCACACTCATCTAGATTTGGTTTTTACACCACTTATAACACCTTCAACCGTTCATGGATAATGGTCTTCCCACACCTGCGTACTCCGTTATTGGGCTCCATTTCGTACGACACCATGTGTATTAATTTTCATAAGTTTGAAATTCTGTTTATTGGCCTTGCAATTATTATCATGTAATATTTTTATGTGCTTTGACCTCAATGTCATTCAGAACTTGACTATCCAACTCACATTTAACTCTAGAGTTCTATATACCAAAAAAGAAAATAGTGCAATTTGGTTATATAGATAACCAAATCAATTATATTAAATCTTTCACTATATACCAAAATTATGAATATTAAAATTGATTCTCATTCACAGAACGCAATGACTCATGATCATAACATATATGGTACTTCAACATCCGCTCACTCGACCTGTAAGTCCATTTTGTTACCATAATATCTCCTACTGTAGTAAAGTTTTTCTGGCCGGTAAATAAAAAGATTGTAATGTGTTAAATATGAAATTCCAAATATTAAAAAGAAATACATCTTATTTTATGTATCGACATAAGATAATTTACATATGCAAACAAAACAGTTATATGTTTGTATTTAATTTTATCTGATTATGATTTCATCAAATAGAATAGATAATCAAAGATAAAACAGTCAAAACAAAAATATCTATATATATCTTATTATATAAATCTTGGTTTTCAAAGTTACTAATTAACATGATCACGACACATGGCAATTATATATTTAAGATTATGACATGTGTTAAATAACAATTTTTCTTTTAAAAACTTAAACCAAAAGAATTTAATATTTAGTTTTACTTTTTAAAATTTCTTAAACATAAAATTAAAAAAAAAAATTAGTTTCCCTTTTTGAACAATCTTAAACAAAAACTGTAAAAAATATATTTCCATATAAATAATATTTAATAATAGTATTTTTCTAAAGTTACAAATTAAGATGATTTTGAAACATGGAAATTATATACATAAGATTATTACATGTGTTAATCAACATGTTTTATTTAAAAGAAAACTTAAACCAAAAGAATATAAAAACAAATCTAAAAGTTTAACTTTCCTTTTTTAAATTCTTATACAAAAACGTTTTTTATTATTTCTATATAAATAAATATTTAACAATGGTATTTCTTTTTTTGAAACATGTATTTAAGATCATTACAAGTTTTATTTTTCAAAATTGCTAGTTAATATGACTGGGATACATGGAGATTATATATTTAAGATTATGATATGTGTTAAATAACAGTTTTCCTTTTAGTAAAAGTTAAACCAAAATAATCTAAAAAGATAATTTTTCTTTTTAAAAATTCTTAAACAAAGAACGCTTTTTAATATTTCCATATAAATAAATTTTTAACAATAGCACTTCTTTTTTAAAACATGGTCTAAAATAATTAAGACTAAACATTATTTTAAGATAAATTTATATACAAATTAAAACATGTACAAAATATTTTCTTATAAATATTTAATAATATTTTTCCTGTTAAAAATATTAAACCAAAGAGAATTGTAATATTTTAGATGAATATAGCCAAACGTGAATACATATAAAGAAGGTAGAAGTGTTGGATAAGGAAACTTCTAATTTTTTATTATTTTCATATAAATAAAATTTTAACAATAGTATTTATTTTTTAAAATATGAGTTTAAGGTAATTACCAATTTAGGTTTTTTAAAGTTGTTTATTAGCATGATTCTGACACATTACGGTTGTATATTTAAGATCATGTCATGTATTAAATAACAGTTTTTCATTTAAATTAAACATAAACCAAAAAATATAGCAATAAAATTTCCCTTATAAATTAATATTTTCCCTTATATAAATATTATTGATAGGTAATGAAACTATAGAAACATATATAATCTAGACTGGCTGTTATAATTTTGAAAAAAATCATACTGATATAAATTATAATATACTGTTATAATTTTTATTAGTTTTTCAAATAATCTATATAATTTTAAAATCACAGTATAATTTTGTTCATCAAATTTATGTTTGATTTTTCAGTGCGATTATTGACTAAATATTTCTATTGTATACTTTTTTATAGATATTAATATTTTCTTTTTATTTTATAAAATTTTAGTTAATAAGATAGTTATTTAGATAATAAGGATTCAAAAACATGGTCTTCACAACATACATGTTTGTGGCTACAAGAATTAGTATATTTTCTTTTGAAATAGTGAAATTATATTATAAAGGTATATTTTCTTAACTGTATGATTTCGTAACAGAATTTTTTTTGTTATTAAAATAAGGCTATTTTGTCTCTAAATATAGATATATAATTTTATTCACTACATTTTCTTTTAAGGTAGAGAAACTCTATAAAGTGCATATATTGTCACTGATTCGATCGCTTTGATTCAACTTTCCAATTTATTGTATTTTACTCTAATTCATATTTTTCTAGGGTTAGATTCAACTTAAAATATTGAGTTTAGATTTTAACTCTACCCCTAAATTCAAAATTGTTAGTAACTGTTTATGCACTATGATTACTGAAACATAGCCGACAAAAAAATATTACTGAAACATAAATACTAACCAAAACTTATGTGGAAAACAATTTTTATTCTTAAAATAAGTTTCAAGAAATATATACAAAAATCCAACGATTGTAAATTGTTTTTCTTCTAATTTTTATGTTTTTTTCATGAAATTAAAACATCAATTGAAATCCGTCCATAGCTAAGTAGATATATATATATATATATATATATATATATATATATATATATATATATATATATATATATATATATATATATATATATATATATATATATATATATATATATATATATATATATAAATAAGGGTTTTCCTTCTTTTAAAACTGTCACGTCATCAAATCTTCTCTGGCTGCATGACATGTACTTTTCTTCTTAAATGTTGCGTTTTGTTTCAAATAAACTCTACACGATTGGGCTCCTAAACCGTTATGGGCCTTATGCTTTTATTTTAATAAATGTTGCCTCTTCAACTTCCTTCATCATCGGCTGAAGGTGGAACAATTACGGATCCATGGAATTTATTCTGCTATAACTCATTCGTCCACGATCTAGACATCGATGTGATGTAAACCACTTGGAGTCGGTGTCTCTGCAAGTATAAATAGGTATCCTTTTCCCCTCTGGAAACCATCTTCCTTTTACTTTTATCATACTTAGAATCCATTGAAATGACTAACTCGAAGGTGTTTCTTTCCGAGCTGAAGTCCGGGCGGTGCTCCTGTGTCGACATCAGGTTTCTCCCTTTCTGAGAGGTGAGAGAATGTCAAGCGTGGTGGCGAGCCGATGTGGCTCGATATGCTCATGGTGGATGTAATGTAAAAATCCTTTAATCTACTCCTCAAAATCGTTTTGTTCCGCAATTCCGGCGGCCTTCCCTGATTTATTACTCCTGAGTTCTAACTATCTATTTACAGGCGACCATTATACAAGCCACTGTCAGAGCTAACCGGCTTCCAACATTCCGGCCAAGGCTCACTGCCGGTTCCATGTACTCCATCTCCAGTTTTGATGTGGCTCGCTGTGCTCAAAACTTTAGGCTCCCGGACTCTTCATCACTAATCCGGTTCAGTGACTCAACCGTGTTCAATAAGATAACTGAACCTGACTCTCCCCTCCCTTTAGAAGGGTTCCGTTATGGTAATGAAACCGAGCTCCTGGGATTAGCTAACACTAACACTCAGCTCTTCGGTTAGTGTACAAGACGATAAAGAGGTTTTCGTGTTTTTTTTTCTTATTCCGTTGATGAGCTTCAAGACGAGGAATCTGTGAAACAGTTATCTGATGCTGATCTTTTGAAAAGGCATGTTGACCGTGCTAAGAAAGTCCGCGCTCAGTGAGTCCACCACACAAACACATTTCGTCAAATCAAAGTTGTTTTCTTGGTGATTGATTGCAGAAGCAAAATTTTTTTTTTTCAGATTAAGAGAAGAATGGTTGAAGAGGATTGCTAGGTACAAGGCAAGATTAGCTCTTCTTCTGCCACCATTTGGAGAGTAATGCAGGAACGAGTAGGTGATTCAAAGCTTGGGACTTTTATGTGTATATATACGAGCAGCTGGTTTAGATATATATAAATCGTGTCGCACAACCCAAACGCTTTAGAAACCTCCCATTCTAATCATATATGTAACCAATCACGCATGAAACATCTGCATTAACCTGATACTTAATTTATCCCTTTTTATATGATTTTTATTGGACTCATAAGTGTAGAATGCAATAAGAATGTATATCCAATGTTATATATTTCCTTCACCAACATATTTTATATATTTTGATCCTAAATCTAAAAATATGTTTCTTTTGGTATAATGATAGTTACATGTGCACTGCTGTAATGTGAACTGTGAAGAAGTACATGGAGAGAGGGGCTGAGAATCTGAAGATGGTGGTGACTACGTTCAATGGGATGCATGAGTAGTGATGTTGTTTAGTGGGTTAGGGTTGGGCCTACTTTCTTTATTATATGCCCAGCCCTATTTTAACTCTATTATAGTAAAGAGTTAGGACTGGTACCAGGGTTAGCCCATTTAATTTTTATACAAGTGAATGACTCTTTGTATATCAAATTTAACTAAGATCACATTTTTTTAAAATTCAAAATATGATCATATAAGTGGAACTTTTCTGCTGCATGTTCTAAACGTGAAATTAAATAACCAAAGTTTACATTTCAAAACATGTCTTTATTCATTTTTTCTCAATCTATGATTCATAAGACTCCAACACTCCATGTCTTTATGTTTCTCTAAGTTTCTCATAACACTCCTCTTGTTGTTATGCTCCAACACTTGTTCTGCTCAACATTCTGCAACAAACCAGTAATAAGTCAACAAAAAAAAAACTGAAACATGCTGAACATAATAACATAACTACAGTCTACAAGCATGATACGGATGAGACTACAAGAAAGGGACTAAACACAATCATTACAATTTACATGGCTCTCAGTTTGAATAGAGCTAAAGCAGTTTACAACTTATACAAAAAGCTAAACCAAACATGAACTCAACCTCAAACATGAACTCAAACTCAAACTTATAACTTAGAACCGAACATGAACTCAAACTCAAACTTATAACTTTTAACTTATAACTTTTAACTTATAACTGAACATGAACTCAGACTTAAACTTATAACTTATACAAAGAGCTAAACCGAACATGAACTCAAACTCAAACATGAACTCAAACTCAAAACTTATAACCGAACATGAACTCAAACTCTTTTATGTCGTTGACATGAGACCATGCCCAAGATAACAACAACATCCTCAAACACTATCTAAAAAGTGTTCAACATATAAACACCATCTTATGGATATACATAGGATTGTTAATATGGGCCTTTGTAAATAGGGTTAGGTCCAGCCCACATGTTTTTTTTATCCCTAAACCCATTACTGTTTGCACGGGCTAGAATAGGGCCGGCCAAAATAAGACTCGGCCTAACCCTTGAGCCCATTATCTTTTTAATTAACAAACTGACGTCGTTTTCATCTCTTTCCCTTCTATTCTTTTTTTTTTTATCGAAAAACAATATCTGAGATTAGATTTCTTTGTCGGTGAAGAGAAGAGAGTCAAATCGTCTTCTTTTGTGATCTTCGTCGGTGATGGTGAGCTTCGTCGGTGAGCTTCGTTGCAGAGATCTCAGATCGTGTATCCATATTTGTCGGTGAGCTTCGTCGAAGTCGCAGAGATCTCAGATCACATCTTGTGAGGTTTGTTGAAATCGATCTCTAGACTCTAGGGTTTGTGGGTTTTTTGAAATCGATCTCTAGGGTTTGTGGGTTTGTTGAAAACTTGAAATCGATCTCTAGGGTTTGTGGGTTTGATGAATCTATTAACCAAGTCTAAGAGCCTGAGAGTCTAAGGCCTAACAGTCTAAAAGCCCAAGAGTCTTTATAGAGTCTAAAAGCCTAAGAGTCTTTATAGAGTCTAAAAGCCTAAGAGTCTTTAACATAAGCTTCTTAGCCTAAGAGTTCATTCATGTATATTCATAAGATAGTGTATATATGTTGAACACTTTTTAGATAGTGTTTGAGTATGTTGTCGTTATCTTGGGCATGGTCTCATGTCAACGACATAATATAGTTTGAGTTCATGTTCGGTTATAAGTTAAAAGTTATAAGTTTGAGTTTGAGTTCATGTTGGGTTTAGCTCTTTGTATAAGTTATAATTTGAGTTTGAGTTCATATTTGGTTATAATTTAAAAGTTATAAGTTTGAGTTTGAGTTCATGTTCGGTTATAAGTAATAAGTTATAAGTTTGAGTTTGAGTTCATGTTTGAGTTTGAGTTCATGTTCGGTTTAGCTTTTTGTATAAGTTGTAAACTGCTTTAGCTCTATTCAAACTGTGAGCCATGTAAATTGTAATGATTTTGTTTAGTCCCTTTCTTGTAGTCTCGTCCGTATCATGCTTGTAGATTGGAGTTATGTTATTATGTTCAGCTTGTTTCAGTTTTTTATTGTTGACTTATTATTGGTTTGTTGCAGAATGTTGGAGAAGAACGAGTGTTGGAGCATAACAACAAGAGGAGTGTTATGAGAAACTTAGAGAAACATAAAGAATTGGAGTGTTGGACTCTTATGAATCATAGTTTGAGAAAAAAAATGAATAAAGACATGTTTTGAAATGTAAACTTTGATTATTTAATTTCACGTTTAGAACATGCAGCAGACAAGTTCCACTTATATGATCATATTTTGAAATTTTGAAAACATGTAATCTTAATTAAATTTGATATACAAAGAGTCATCCACTTGTATAAAAATTAAATGGGATAACCCTGGTACCAGTCCTAACCCTTTACTATAATAGGGTTAAAATAGGGTTGGGTTAAAATAGGGCTGGGCTTATAATAAACAAAAGCGGGCCCAACCTTAACCCACAAAACAACATCCCTAGATATACATGAATGAACTCTTAGACTAAGAAGCTTATGTTAAAGACTCTTAGACTCTATAAAGACTCTTAGGATTTTAGACTCTTAGGCTCTTAGACTTGGTTAATAGATTCATCAAACCCACAGACCCTAGAGATCGATTTCAAGTTTTCAACAAACCCACAAACCTTAGAGATCGATTTCAAAAAACCCACAGACCCTAGAGTCTAGAGATTGATTTCAACAAACTCACAAGATGTGATCTGAGATCTCTGCGACTGCGACGAAGCTCACCGACGAAGATGGATACACGATCTGAGATCTCTGCGACGAAGCTCACTGACAAAGCTCACCATCACCGACGAAGATTACCGAAGAAAACGATTTGACTCTCTTCTCTTCACCGCCAAAGAAATCTAATCTCAGATCTCGTTGTTTCGATAAGAAAAAAAGAATAGAAGGGAAAGAGATGCAAACGACGTCAGTTTGTTAATTAAAAAGATAAAGGGATCAAGGGTTAGCCTGAGTCTTATTTTGGCCGGCCCTATTCTAGCCCGTGCAAACAATAACGGGTTTAGGGCTAAAAAAACATGCGGGCTGGACCTAACCCTATTTACAAAGGCCCATATTAACAACCCTATGCATTAGCCCTCTTCACCAGTTAGACCCCATAGCAAGTACATGCCAAAGAATCTTTCCAGTTTCTTAATGTCTCCCAGCAATAGATCCCCTCAATTCCCATGAAACCACTCAAGATACCTCTTTAAAGGTTTCTAGACCTATACACATGTTTCCCAGTAACTAATGATCTGAATGTGTTTCTTGAATATTTTTTTCCAGAATAAAAAAAAATACTAAGGTTAAGTAAATGGGGTCTGTGTGTGTGTTTTGGTATGAATCATGTGTGTGTTTTAATGACAGAAATGAAACATATAATGTTCAAACTAATTCAGGCTTACCTTATATTTTTGAACTTTTCCAATCCTGTCTCCTAACATCTATCCAGCACCTGTGAGATTTAGTTTCTTATGTTTAAACTGTGTAGAAAGCAACCATATTGTGTCGAAGTAAAATTTGTGATGGGGGCATTCTTTGTAATATCTGATAAGAAGAATACAGCAGATTTTTCATACCTATTAAAAAAAATTTAAATATTTTACTTTGTCCTTAACTAATGTACTATATTGTTTCAATTTAACAAATAAATATAAATAAAATAAATTTAACATGGGCATTAAAAACAAAAACGGCATTTAAAAATAAAACAACCAAAGGTTTTTTTGTCATTCCAATTGTGTATTTTCACTTGGAAAATATATTAAATAAAATATTTTCCAATAAGAAGATGAAAAATTATTTCATTAAATGGTGAAGAGATTAGTGGTGACAACTGTGCCACATTACCTCTCCTTCCATTTTTTGTTATTATTATTTGTTATCAAAAAAATCTTTAATTTCAGTTTCGATTCCAAAACATTTTGAGAATAGATACAAACAAATAATATTATCTTAATTATTTTACGATTTATAAACAAAAGTTAATTAATACAAGGGATACACAAAACTAATAAAATATTAACATTACAAAATCTTTAATGTTATTACATTACACGGAAGAACACTAGAGGTGTTTTACACGTGAAATTAGAAAATGGATGAAATATTCCACAATCTAGAAATGAGATCCCAATATACATAACTTGTAGGGTATTCGGATTAGTGTATGTGGTTCTTAGATATAGGACAATCAGATACATGTTTTCATTAATGTATCCAAAGAAATATTAATATAAACGTAAAATTGATCTTTATATAAATATTTTTGACAACTTTAAATTTTAGTGTGTAATAATTTTTAAAGATATATTTTAATATATCTTATAATTTGGTCTGGATTTCATAATCTTATCTCAATTACACATGAGAGTAAAAATACATCTATATGATTAAAACTGAAGTACCTTTTGGTACTATTTGGAACTAAGGATAGTAGGATAGTAGGATAAATGAGAATTATTTGAAAACATGGATATCATATTAAATATTTTATTTTATTTTCACATTTAGCTATTGCATTTACAATAAATTAAATACTTTCCTTTTGTATTTTTTTT